CTTATATGTTGTATTGAAAACTAAGGTGATATCGAATTGCTTTAATATTAGTTTGTTGAAGAAAAAACGAAATTATAAACATAATATGAAGTAATTGATCATAAAACACAAGAATAAAATAATTTGTAGAGAATGAAGATTTTATTATAATATGAAAAAAGAATACAAAAATTTTGTGTTTATGATTTGTTTAACTTGGTCTAAAATACAATGAAAAGCTAAGTATATATAGGAGACGTCCAAAACCGTAAAAGTAAAGTTGTAGATGGAAAGGAATGCTCAAAACGCGAAACGGGCTTGGGCCAGATAACACCACCGCTCAAGCATCAGGCAACATCACTCGGGAAAGAATTGCAACGGCTTTGCTAGAGCAGTAGGTTAGCGGAAAAAGTACCGAAAATTTCTCTCTAGTACATATCTTGATCTCTTCAAGTCGAACACAAATTTCAACTCTCAATTGTGCTTCCAAATAAAATTTCAACCTAGAATTTGCTAAATAAACGTCGAATATGATTCCAAATGACATTTTAAATAGAATCAGGTCACAACATAATTCTAACAAATTTCACCTTGACACGAATTCTACTACAATCAACGAACTTAAAAAAATTTCCACTTGGGAGACAAATTCCATTATAAGAAATAAATTTCAACTCTTCAACAAAGAACACAAACGAAATTCTCCATCAAGATTTCCAACGGAAAATATTTTCCAAAAATCTGTAACCTAATTAGGGCAAAATTAAATAACTGGGTATTAACAAAATTCTAAGCATTGTACTTGGCTATCACCAAATAGGGCAGAAACAAGCCCTAAAATAGAATTACCAAAACTGAATGCATCAAAAGAACGATCTTATCTAGAATCAACACATTTAACCGCATTCAAACCATCAACTAAATCAACAGAATTGTATATATGTACTTGGATATCACCAAATAGGGCAAAAACAAGCCCTGAAACAGAATTACCAAAATTGAATGCATCAAAAGAATGATCTTACCTAGAATCAACACCTTTAATCGCTTTCAAACCATCAACTAAATCAACAGAATTGTATATATGCTGAGTCTTATGACAAAAAATGGGTCTACTACTAGTAACTGAATATAATGACTCTGTCGATAATGGTGGTAAGGCAGATTTATCCATAACTTCTAAATTCAATTGAGATGTATTCTTGATGCAGGAGGGTCTGAGTCAGATGCTAAGTTGTCAGATAATACGTTAATGGTTCTAAGGTATCATAAGTTGGCAGATCGGGGCAATGATGGCAAATGATCGCGTAACTTTGGTAATTAAGTCGTGTTTCGGTAATTTGGCCATAACTTTGGCTACGATTATCAGAATTGCAATTATGACTACAATCCAGAAAACTCGTTTCGGCGTGCACGTTGTGGCCATCCAACTATGCTCGGTATATGCCATTTCAATCCTCAAATTCCGCTGTTTTCCCTTCCAAATTGCTATTGTTAGTTAATTTTTGCTATTTTTTGTAATATTTCGATTGCATGTTAGGAGATGATTTTTAACCCGATTTGGGCTATATTTTTCGTAGACCAGTTATTTTATTCATTATTTTTGTTTGGCGTGATTTTTGAAATTTTTCCATTTTTGGTAAAATTCAACT